GCTATCAAATCCCCCCTCACTCTTCTCTTCCTTAGACTAAACAAGCCCAAATCCTTCAGCCTCCCCTTATAAGTCATGTGCTCCAGCCCCCTAATCATTTTTGTTGCCCTCCGCTGGACCCTCTCCAGTGCATCTACATATTTTATATAATGGGGAGCCCATATGTTGTTAACCTTCTTGGCTACAAGCGAACCCTGTTGACTCATGTCCAGCTTTGTTACTTTGCGTAAGGAATCTTGTAACCCTCCTCCTTCTCCCTCCCTTTTCACTCTCCTGCTTGGGAAGTGTTTTATGAACCAAAATAAATAGACTCTCTCCCCCTCCTTCTCAGTGAAGGACTTTGTGCACATGGGTATCAGGTTTTGCCCATGTGCATTTGGGATTTGATTCTGCATGCCGGAAGCCAGTAATCCTAATGGACTTCTTGGCATGGTTGCTGTGAGCAAGGAGTGCTGCCCTGAGTAAGGCTGAGGGACGGGGTATCCAGGACGTTGTGTGTCAGCTGCATAACTGAGTTTGGGAGGGGACGTCTGAGAGCACCATTATTTAATCTCTCGCTAGAGAAACCAAAATTTCACAATCCTGACTTCGGGCAAAGCAAGAGAGCAACATGTGGGTCCACTCCATAGACATTGAGTTCAAAACTCCCATTGAGTTCAGTGGGAGCCAGCTGCATTGTGGTGTTTTCTGGCATGGCTGTAATCCAGATTCAGTCTGGGCTCCGTGGACCTTTTCTCATTGATAAACACACCAAAGAGACAGACCGGAGTTACACATCAGACAACCCAAAGGGAAAGTTCTAGGGATCCTTGGGGAGGAGAGTTCAGCTGGTCACACGAGGTGCTCATTGAGGCTACCTCTAGACGACAGAGTTTTTGCACAAAAACTTGCGGAGCGTCCACACCTCAAGCACGTTTTTGTGCAAGTAAATCGACAGAACAGAAGGATTTTTGTGCAAGAGTTATTTATCTTTCTACGAGGAATAATTCCTTTTTGCACAAGAGCTCTTGCACAAAAAGGTGTGTGTGGATGGGGACCTGCTTCCTTTTCCACAAAAAACCCCTATTGAAAAAAGCATAGGTGCCCTGGTGGCCATTCTGTGAATACCTATCAGCACTTTCTTTCTAGAGAGCGTCCATGCAGTCTGGATGCTCTCTTGCACAAAAGCACATTGCTTTTTCGATGAGCTTTTGCAGTGTGGATGCACTCTTGCGCAAGAAGTTTTTGCAGATCTCTTCCACAAAAAGCTTTTTGAGCAAGACGCTTGTAATCTAGACAGAGCCTGACCTATGTGTGTCATACAGAGTCCTTGAATGTACCTTTGCCATTAAACATCTTTTTCAAAACATATTTATTATTATACACAAGAAGATTTACTCGGCATTGCTCGGGTCCTTAATTCAATTCATTTTTGTTTTTCTTCATTTAAATCATTGTTCTGGAGTGGGGCTGGGGATGAAGGATTCAGTATGCAGCTGCCCTGGGGAGAGACGACAACTCCAGCCCTCTCTCACTGCAGAAGCTTGGGGCCAGGTGAGAAGCGCCTCTCCATGGCTGCTGCAGCTCCAGCAGGCATTGCTGAGGGAGGGGTGAATGAATGTCTCCCAGCTGGGGCACGTCCAGGTACCTCTGCCCCCTGTGCTCCCCAGCCAGAGTGAGAAATACAGCAAACTGTGCACTTTCCCATCGCTCCCTGATGAAGGGGCACAGCCAGTAATGTTCCCATATGAATGTGGGGGGGAGCTGCAGCCCCCCTGCCCTCCTTAAAGGGCACCTGGGGATGGAAGGCTAGGGCAGTCCCCGATAGAGGGGCCCTTTCACCTACCTAGTGATTCTGTCTTGGTGGCCTCAGTTTCCCCACCTGTAAAAGCAGGCCCAGCCTTTGGACAAGGCGAGCGAGTCGGTTGCCTTGGACCCCGAGCTGTCCAGCTCCTGGCCCCGCCCATCCAGCCGCTCACTCGCTGCCCTGACTTGGAGCCGCACGGCTGTGCAGCTCAGCCCCAGTGCCTTGGGCCCTGCGAACTCTTTGGCTGGGCCTGTGTAAAAGTAGGAAATAACAGTGAGGTGATAAGGGTGCTGTGATGCTTAATATAGCCCTGATCTTTGGAAGGCATCGTATACAGAAGTGTGGTTTTGCTTTCCTTAAGGGGATATCTGTCATCTATCATACTTACATGGTCTCCATCACTATAGCAACTGAGCGCCTCACAATCTTTAATGTATTACTACTCAGGATACCCCTGGGAAGCAGGGCCATGCTATTATTCCCATTGCACAACTGCAGAGCTGAGACTCGGAGACTAACTGACTTGTTCAAAGGGACTTGAGAAGGGATTTTACCCTTGGTGTCCTGGCTAAGTTCCGGTCTGCCATTTATCTCCTTACATTTCCCCGGATGTTTCAAATGGATCCAGAATTCTTCTATGCTTTTTGTTTTAAACGTTAGGCAGTGTTGCCCTGTGCTGGATCCAGGATGTTGTAGTGTTACACCCCAGGACTGGATGCTTTTTGATGATGGTGGAACTGAGAGCTGATGTACCTGCACTGGAAAGTATTTTGGATTCTTTAAGCAAATGGGTGTAATGGGAACAGTTATTCGTAAGTATTCCTCCCCTGACAGCTGCTGGGCAAATGACAGGTCAAAATCATGTCACCTTTCAGTAAACTGAGGCCCCAAACTCATTTCACCTGTATGTAATTTGTAGAAAGCCCATCATCAGCAGGTAGGAGTAAACCTGCAACCTTAGGAGCTAAAGCCCTGTGCTTTCTCTACATGAGTGAAAAGCCAACTGTGCCTGAACTGGAGAGCAAACTTCATAGTCTCAGTGCTTCTGGGTTACATGTGGCCCCTGCCAAAGCTGAAACTACTGGGCCATCTATTTTAAAACAAGGGTGAGACTGAAAGAATGTGAGCAAAGAACAAGACCAAGGCAAAGGAATCTATTGAAAGATGTTGTCTCCTAATGATGTTGTTCTAAGCAAGCTGTTTCCCCCGCCACACACATGGGCTATGTCTAGACTGGCATGATTTTCCGCAAATGCTTTTAACGGAAAAGTTTTTCCGTTAAAAGCATTTGTGGAAAAAAGCGTCTAGATTGGCACAGACGCTTTTGCGCAAAAGCAGTTTTTGCAGAAAAGCATCCGTGCGAATCCAGACGCGGTTTTGCGCAAGAAAGCCCCGATCGCCATTTTCACCATCGGGGCTTTTTTGCGCAAAACGGTTCTACACTGGACCCCTTGTGCAAAAGCATTTGTGCAAGAGGGCTTTTTCCTGAACAGGAGAGTCATTGTATTTGCGGAAGAACACTGACAATCTTACATGAGATCGTCAGTGTTCTTGCACAAATTCAAAGCGGCCAGTGTAGACAGCTGGCAAGTTTTTCTGCAAAAGCACTTGCTTTTGCGGAAAATCTTGGCAGTCTAGATGCAGCCATGGATTTGAGATTGTGTGGGAGGAGAATTTGGTAGATTGTTTTGAATAGAAACAAAAATGAAAGCCTCCATGTCAGGATAAGGGGGAGCAGGAAGTTGGCAGGAGTAAGTCGGAACATATCATCATCTGTCTTACAAGTCCATGCACTCGCCTGCACACAGAACTTGCACTGGTTTTACTAAAATAAGTTTTAAAATTAAATTGCAGCAAATCCCTATGTGGACATACTTAAATCAGTTTACCACTGGCTTGCCTTGGTCTAGGATGATTTAGTTGGGATTGGTCCTGCTTTGGGCAGGGGACTCCATAACCTCCTGAGGTTTCTTCCAGCCCTAGGATTCTATGAGCTACCTTATGACATGTACACACAACAATCCATTAAAAACAGTGACGCAGCCGCCCAGGGGTTCAATGTGCCCATTTGTCCTTTATTTTCCATACCTTAGGCTTTGCTGTCCTGGCTATGCTAGTGCAATGACTATCTCAAGCCTGCCAAGATGCAAGAGGCAGCTGCAGTGATGTTGAACAAAATGCCCAGCTGATAATGTGGTCATAGGTTGCAGGATTTGGATATAATAGAGCCTGGTGTGTTTGGTTGAAAATATCCAAGATGTGATTTAGCTGCCTGTTAGCAGGAGTGGAGGGAATCAACCCAGGAGGAACTGGTTGGCTAGCAGAAATGGTGGCACTTCCAAAGGTTATCAAGCCCTTTGAGATTTAACTATCAGGTCTTATTCACAGGCTGGATGATTCAATGAGCACTTAAGAGTGGTGACCAGTAATGGTAATTTTTTCTCTCCATGTGTGGAATAATTTTTCTGTGCACTGAGGCATGTGTGGATGTGCACCATCAGTAGAAACATATGTTGTCAGCTGCTGCAAGCTCTGAGCACTCTGCTAATCAGCAAAGTGGCATTTTAATCTATCCTAGGTGGCCACCCAACCCCTCAGCTTTCAGGGAACACTAGTGGTGAGTGACCCTCCTCTAGAACAATGAATAGACTATCTCTAAATTGCACCTAATAGAGGAAGGAAGGGGGGATTTTATGGCACACCAGGAGATACATTTTTCTCTTGTGTCTTCTAAAGAAGTCCAGGGTTTTTCACCATGCTGATCACAACTCACTGATTGTACTTTTGGTGGAATGAGCAAAGTGTCAGGAGATGTGAGTTCCAGTCCTGGCTCTGTCATGGGTTTACCGAGTGACCTATGGGACAACTTCTTGGTGCCTCCATTTACACATATGTAAAATGAGTGTAAGGACTCATGGGGTATTATTTCCATTGCTTTATCGTGCAGATTTGTGACTCTTGTTACCCACACAAATTTCTCTATCCCTGCCACACTTTAGGGATATACACTTTTACCCAGTTCCTAGGGCTGAAGGTGCAACCCTGTTAATTTACACACCCACCCCAGCCCAATTCCTAAGGGCTCAGGGCAGAACTTCCTACGGGTTTGCAGGATCTTTTGCCACTGAAAGAGCCTCACACAGTAATATTCTTATTCATTGACACTTCCCAAGCAGGCAGAATACACATGCTAAGCACATAGTGTCATGCTTACCAATCCTGATACAGGCAGGCAGCCTTCCCCTGTTGGCCAGGCAAGATCAGTGTCTCTGGATCTTAGCTGCTGCACACCTGGATCATGCAGAAGGATCTTGGCAGCTCTGGTCTTAGGCTGTGTATTGGAGATGAGTTCTTCCAGGTCTTCCCCCTTCTTCTTGGTGTTCCTTTCTTTCCTTCTGCTTCTATTACTTTTGCTCTTCTGCTGGCTTCCTTCTTGAACCCCAGTTTATATAGTGAAATCTGAGTCCTGCTTAGCTATACCTTAACCAATTATTTTAGTATAATTTTACTAACCAATCATAACATACTGTAACAGACTTCCCTAACCAATCACACCCACCACCTTGGTTGAGTTACACCTAGCAAAATTAATTATACATCAGACAGAAACACTCACAGTGGTTTGTGCATTACCCCCCTAAACCCAAGGTTGTAAGTGCAATCCTTGAGGGGGCCCATTTAGGAATTTGGGGCAGATCCCTCTTGGGGATGGTACTTGGTCCTGCTGTGAAGGCAGGGGACTGGACTCGATGATCTTTCAAGGTCCCTTCCAGCTCTATGAGTTAGGTATATCACACAGACAAACAATAGGACAGTGCGAGGACAATAATTGTAGAATGAGGATTCCTCAACTATTGATAAGCAGTTTCTTGCCAGACGAAACGCTGTTAATTAAGTTTTCTTTACCCATCTTGAGATCTGTTTCTTTATCTGGTGACTGTGGGCACCATAAGGACAAGGTCACCTTCTCACAGCCTAGTGTGACACTATTTTAATGCAATTTAGATGGACTGTGAGTATGTGACTCCAGGCTTTACAGCTAATGGCTGCTCTCTTCAGTCTGGCTGCAGAAGAAGGCTTTAGTTCAGGCCTTCCAACATGGTTACAGAAAAACCATATTGTTACACTTTCACCACTTCCTTTGAGAGACTCAGTCTACAGTTGAGAGAAGTATGGGCGAGTGGTCTCAGCACAGGATTACAAGCCAGAAACACCTCGCAGTAGGTGATGCTTTCAGAAGAGAGTTAAGGCTGATTTGTTTGACCTTAAAGATCCCATAGCATGTCTGGTAATAAAAGAGGTTTGTCCTGGTATAACTGGCCAAAACTACATCCTTGTTTCACTTCCCCACCCTATGGTGCTGTTACACTGAGTGTCTGTTAGTCACCAAAGAATTGCACACATCCTGTTGTTTTTATCACTCTTTTCCACAGCATAACTGTGATGGAGTGCGGTCACAGACGACCCCTTGGGGGTGCTGACACGGCCACTGCCACTCGCCTTCCTGCTTTCTGGGGCTCCTCACTGCCCGGTGCTGCTGGGCCAGCTCCTCTGGTCTCCCCCAGCCAAGGCCCCGAGCTGAGGTCCCTGCCCCCGCCGAGAAGCAGTACAGACACTGAACCATTTCAGGTCCAAGGAGAGTGCAGTTTAGGGCCCAGCCTCCTGGGAGAGCACTCCCCAGAGAGGATCAAACCCCAAAGAATTAGGTAAGCTCCCTTTAGCAATGAAAGGGGGAATGTGCACACTGGTTGCCCCCCCAGGTAACAATCGCTTACACTGGGTTTGATAGAAAATACAAATGGTTTTATTAAGTTGAAGCAGTAGGATTTAAGTAGTAATAAGTGAAAGTAGGCAGAGCAAAGTAGGTTACAAATCAAAAGAAAACAAAACCGCTTGAATAATTCTACATTGAAACTAGGGGTCACCAAGTAGACCCCCCCAAAAAAACTGGACACACTTGATCATGGGTGGGAGGGGAGGGAGAGAGAGACCAGCTGAGAGGGGGGTCCGGGCTGTCCGGGAGGAAGGGGAGGTGGGAGGCAGGGCTGGTGGGCGGGGGAGGGGGCGGGGGCTGGCTGGGAGGAAGGGGGGCCGGGGGGAAGTGGGGGCAGGAAGCAGAGCTGGGGGGGATCGGGGGGAGGAGGGGGGCCGGAGGAAGGGGGGCAGGAAGCAGAGCTGGGGGGGATCGGGGGGAGGAGGGGGGCCGGAGGAAGGGGGGCAGGAAGCAGAGCTGGGGGGGATCGGGGGGAGGAGGGGGGCCGGAGGAAGGGGGGCAGGAAGCAGAGCTGGCAGGGGGTGGTGCAGCCACTGGCCGCAGCCAGAGTCCAACAGGCCGCGCCCCTAGCAGGCACTCCCTCTAGTTGCTAGTAGGAGCCACTTCCCCCGCCTGGCTTCTGCACACAACCAGAGGCCCCCGGCACCAATCGCGGCCCTGCCTCTCAGCTGGGAGCCTCTGGTTGCGTGCAGAAGCCAGGCGGGGGGAGTGGCTTTTGCACACGACCACAGGGCTCGCAGCGCCAATCGCGGCCCCGCCTCCCATTTGCTCACCCACCCCTGCCAGGCTTCCATCCGGCGGCCAGCTGGAAATTCAGAAAATACCGGACATTGCACGTGGCCAGTATTTTCTGAATTTTTCTACCGGACAGAGGGTGCAAATACTGGACTGTCCGGTAGAGAACCGGACACCTAGCAACCCTAAGAAACCTCAGTGCAAACTTAATCAAACTCACCCTAAAACCTCTTTTCCGGCTGCCACTCTAAACCAGGGCTCTCTTCCCCACCCTGGGTCTCTGGCTCCTTCCCTCAGGTGCGACCTAGGCCTCTGCTTTCCTATTCCTTTTGTTAAGGAGTTGAGGCCACTCCCTACCAACCACTGCTCAGACTTAAGGACAAAAGATTAACAGTGGCTCATCTAGAAGTTGTAGGTAACACTCTCCATGTCTCCCATTTACACATTTGAAACTCACAAATTATTCCCCACTCCATGTGTCTAATTTTGCACACACAAATGATACATAAAACAGAACCAGCAGATCATGACATGAAGATCGATGGGTTACATGAAATAATTCGCTCAAACCACCTTTGAGTTATGTATATTCATGTCCATGAGTCCATTTCATAAACCATGTGGGTGGGGAGGGTCCGTCACAATAACAATGAACCCATTTTGCCTCATCCATCTGACAAGACCTTGTTTGTTAGACTGTGAGCTCTTTGGGGCAGGCAGTTTTCTCTATGTTTTCCTTTTCTCTATGTTTGTACAGTCCCTGCACATTAGGTTCCAGACCAGATTGCAGCCTGTAAGCACTAATTATAAATAACACCTGTTGACTCTCCACCCCAGAGGTGGCTGCATTTCAGTGCTGCCCTCTGCATAACAAAGTCTTTGAGCTAGATCAGGGTGAAAGCCTTTCTATAAATATCAGTCGTTGATGCATCTTTCTGCAAGTCATGCAAAAAAGTTTAGAGGGATAGCTGTGTCAGTCTGTATCTGCAAAAACCAATGAGGAGTCCTGTGGCATCTTAAAGATTAACAGATGTATTTGGACATAAGCTTTCATGGGTAGAAAACACTCCATGAGATACACTGGAGTGGAGTAAAAAAAAGTTGTAAAAGTCTGCTTCAAGGCAGTGGATTAGCACAGCACGCTTTCTTCTTTCAGAAATCTCTGTAGCACTGACTGCAAACAGATAAGTCTCAAACATATGGATCCAGGCAGTAAAAGCAATTGGAGGCTCACCTGGCCTTTGCAGAAAGGGTGCAGGTGGGTTCAGAGGCAGAAGATCCATCCTCGTCGCCAAAATGTTGTATCATGCAAGCAAAGTAGTAACAAACTTCAACAGGCCTTTATTTAACAAAGATGAAGCCTCTTTACAAAGCTACTGCTGTAGCTCTCACTCAGCCTGGCCCATCTCCTCCCCCCTCCTTCCTGTGCTTCCAGATTCCCAACAGCCAGTGCTCCCAGTTCTAATAATTACAAGCAGCATCTAAAACACCACAAAGAGGGACTTAAAAGGAGGCACTGCAGCTCAGCCAAGTAGCTAACTGAGGGGAAAGGATGTATGCTCACTTTGAAGTAAGAATAAGGGCCTCCGGAAAAGGGCGCTTTTTCCGGAGGATCGGGGCCAGTGTAGACGCTCTTTTCCGGCTTTTTTAAAAGCCGGAAAAAAGCGGCGGACATTTTTATTTAAATGCCGCGGGGGATATTTAAATCCCCCGCGGATTTCCCTACGACGACTAGTGAAATTTACATGCCCCTTCCGGAAAAGGGGCCAGTGTAGACGTAGCCTGAATGAATATAGAATGAAACACAGAATTCATCAGTCAACTCAAATGAAGTCATTTTAAATGTGATTATTCAGCATATTTGGCATCTTCTCTCTGTAACAGAACATTCATTTGTGTCCACTCCCTATACACTATTGTAATAATCTCTGTACAAAGTATGTCTTGTAAGATATCACTTTAAATTGCAGAATTTACTGGTCAGTATTGTCCTGGTAAAATATGTGTGGCAAGATTGTATGTGAAGTTATAAGATTTCAACAGATGTTCCACACCCCAGAGTTCTGCGGGGGCAGAAGTCAGGTCTGAAACTCCACAAAAAAAGGGAAGCAAAATGTAACAATGACATCCAATTCCTGAGCAAATGCATTAACCAAATGTCATCCCTAGAGGTCTCATCAAAACACTCTGACCAGTTCACCAGTCTGTTCCACCTTGTATTCTATTGTGATGCTGGGAGTTCCTGTCCCAGAGCCGAAGAAGACCTCTGTGAAGGGTAACTAGATATCCCAATTTTATAGGGACAGCCACAACATTTGGGGCGTTGTCTTATATAGGCACTATTACTCCCTGCCCCCTCCCAATTTTTCACACTTGCTATATGGTCATCCCACTTCTGTGTGGCTCAAAAGCTTGTCTCCCTCCTCTGCAGATGCTGATCTTAAACAAGGTGTTACACACTCACTGTCTCTCTATAAACAAAGGAAGGAATGTGCTCATGCCTTAATTTTAATTTAAGCAGTACAGTAAATAGAATCATCAAGCAGACAGGGAAAATGAATTTCCAACAGGTGAAAAAAAAACCTATGAAGGAAGGCTGAAAGAATTGGGTTTGTTTAGTTTAGAAAAGAGAAGATTGAGGGGAGACAGGATAGCCATTTTCAGGTATCTAAAAGGGTGTCATAAGGAGGAGAGAGAAAACTTGTTCATCTTGGCTTCTGAGGATAGAATAAGAAGCAATGGGCTTAAACTGCAGCAAGGGAGGTTTAGGTTGGACATTACGAAAAAGTTCCTAACTGTCAGGGTGGTCAAACACTGGAATAAATTGCCCAGGGAGGTTGTGGAATCTC